ATACAGTCTCATTGTTTGTCTCTAAATACAACCGGCAGGTGATTTAGAGGAAACCCTCTCAGTATAAACTGTGTACACTGCCTGCTCAGCACCAGACGATTATATTTTTGGAAGGAAAAAAAAATTGATTAAAGTCAACATGTCTGATCTGCTAGTTTTGTGTTCACAGCTTCCCCTCACTTGCCTCAAAGTGAACAAAAAGTCAGTAAAAGCAGTTTTAAAACGAAACAATGGTTAACGTCAGGGCCGGCCCGTGGCATAGGCCGTATAGGCAAATGCTAAGGGCGCCGTCCATCAGGGGGCGCCACGCCAGTGCCACAAATGTTGAAGAAAAAAAAAAGTTGGTACTATTATTTCTAAATACAAAAAAATAATCCCACGTTAATTAAAATGCAAAGTAAAGCTTATTTAATAGAAATATTATTTGTTACAACATTACGCCCCCCCCTCCCCGCACGGTGCGCCCCCTCCCTTCCCGTATTATGGTTCCTTTTGGACGTCACCACATCAAAAAAATCAACACAAGATGTCAAAACGGCCAAAACTGTCAGGTGCCCATGGAAGAAAAAAGAGAAAAGAAGAGGAGGAGAAATTTAGTTTTTTGGGTGTAATAGTAGATGAAAATTTGACGTGGAAATCTCATATTGAGTATATTAGAAAGAAGATGGTCAAAAGCATTTATATTTTGGGAAATTTAAGAGATTTATTAGATCATAAAACAATGCGCATTTTATATTTTTCATTGTTTTTCTCATATTTTAGTTACTGTGTTGAAGTTTGGGGGAATACATATGAGAATACTATAAAACCTCTAAACTTATTACAGAAGAAAGTGATACGAATGATCCATAACGTTAAATATAGAGAACATACAAATAAATTATTTATAAAATCAAAATGATTAAAATTAGGAGATTTAGTGAAATTACGGACACTATTAATTATGTTTAAGGCTAAAAATAATATTTTGCCCTTTAAGTTACAAAGAGTATTTTTAATGTGTTCAGGGGGAGAAGATAGCAGAAGGAAATTTTATTTTAAGCATCAGTTAGCTAGGACTACACAAAGATTAAGGAGTCCAACCGTTAGGGGTATACGACTGTGGAACTCTCTTCATTATAATTTAAAGAATTGTATAAGTTTACATTGTTTTAAAAAGTGTTACATGCTTAAAACGATAACTCAATATGAAGAATGCGAATGAAATTGGAGTTCATTGAAAATGGATCCATTATAATTTTTTGTTTTATTTATTTAATTTTATTTTTCTCCTTGTTACTATGTGGAGTGGTATATTTGTTGTTTGGTTTGGGTTAGGACCGGAGAGAAATGTTAATATTAGTTTGTTCCCTGATTTTTGGTGCCCACTTGTAATATAAGTTGGAATGTAGATAGGGGGCGGGGTTTAATAAGAATATTTTCTTCTTCCTGCTCCTTTTCACACATGGTTGTAGTGCTTTATTGATAGAAAGTGTGGTTGGTTTGTTTGATCTGTTGTACCAAGTGTGAAAAAAATAAATAAATGAAATGAAATTTATTGTATTTCATATATTCATTTTTTATTTTTTGTATTCATTTATTTATTCATATATTTTTTTTATCTTGTTAATTATTCTGATTGTGAATTTGCTTTCTTTAAGTAAAAAAAAAAAAAAAAAAAAGGTCAAAGACAAAGCTATTCGGTTTCTTGTGAGTACATACACTACACTGCCGATGTAGGGGGGCACCACCTAAAATCTTGCCTAGGGCGCCAGATTGGTTAGGGCCAGGCCTGGTTAACGTTAAATCGTTACCTGGTTGTCCTTGAGTTCTGCGATGTCTGCCACCACCAGTGACTCCATAAACTTCACCCCGTCTTTGCCGTGGATGTTGGTCTGACAGAGAAAAACAAAAAGTCTGTAATTAAATCTTTAACAGCAGCAGTTTCCTGGAGAGTTGGGTGGTGGATAAAAACAACAGCCAGACACTAGACATTTTTACTCTGCCATGATGTGACTAACACATACATTTCTTCACTTGACACACACATTGCTTGACACAGGGGTCACACTCTGCTCCCAATATTTACAGCAGAATATCTCAGAAAGTCTCAAATCCAAGTTGCGATGCTCTACTTGAAATCTGCACCCATGTTTAAGAGCGCATGCCTCACCTGCAACATGTGACTGACATCAAAGATGGAGCAGTGCTCTCTGGTGTGCATGTGAGAGGCAATGTGACTGTCTTTATACTGAACGGGCATACTCCAGCCTGCAAACTCCACCATCTTTCCCCCCTGCCCCCTGTGGAAGTCAAATAGTGGAGTCTTCTTCAAGGCAGTCTGGGGAAAAGAAAACATCAGGCTTGTAGTGAAAGTCCACAGATGAAATACTGTGACTGCTGAGTTCTTGCATGCTATTAAATCTATTAAAGTGTTTCTAAAAGGTTTAGTAGTTTAGCATGTTCTGCAAATAACACAGTGAGCAGGAACATAATAACAACACATCTTTGATTAATAGACAGCTCAGCTGATAGGCCTCTCTCTCGTGCTCTCTTCAGTCTGACCTTTGAACCAGCTGAAGGTGGGCTTATCAGCCACAGCAACGCATCGTGGGACAGAGTGTGTCTGCACCTTTCCAAACTGTCCACAGTCAGCCGTTACTGCAAACAAACCGAAGGCATGTGGCTGCTCTGGTTGCAGACCCATATACTCCTAAGTCGTTGTGGATTTATACTGCTTTGTACTTGAAAGTGAAAGAACAAGACTGATCCTATATTGATCAACTGTTTTGACCCAAACCCTCTTTGCATACAAACCTACAAAAGCATAGGGATGTCATGAAGGAGTAAAAAGATGGATGAAAGGGTAAGTTGGCCCTGCGTTAAACCTTGCTGACAGTACTGCAGAGTCAGTCCCTCGTGGTTTTAATAAAGCCATTTTGTGCAGCTCAGTGAAGTGAAGCAGGCAGGGGGGGAGGGCCACGCTGCAGGGACAGATATACATTATGTGTGCATGGGCGAGCCATTGCTGTCACAAACTCACATGTTAATACTGTATTAATTCAACTCAGTTTTATTAATACAGCGCCTTAACCCTTATCACAACAGTCACCTCAAGGAGCTTTATATTGTAAGGTAAACCCCTACAGCAATAAAGAGAAACCTCAACAATCAGACAATCATACCAACCCCCCAATAAGCAAGCACTTGGCGGCAGTGGAAAGTTAAAAGTCCTTTTTAACAGGAAGAACCAGGCAGGCCTCTGAGGTGACCTGTTGGGGGTGAGGGGAGGTAGACAGGACTAAAGACACACACAGTAGGCAGTAACAATAATAGAGCAAGATTTCTTCAGCGAGTCAATCAAAAATATCATTTAAATCTCATTAAAGTACGTGAGTTACAGGCCTGAAATTGTCCTTTAAAGTCTTATAAAGTAGGATTAAAATACCACAGGACCAAAGTTAGAGTTTAAAAAAAAATTAATAAGTAATATTGAACACGTGACAAATGAAATGAGTGAAAATTCAGCAAATAGATAAATAACTCATAACAACAAAAGGTGCGTGTGAAGTCTGATGCCAAAAGCCTTTGGCACACTTGCAAGGACTGAAGTTCACGGCTCTGCTTACCTCTGTGCTGGCAGCCCGGCTCTGTTGCTGCCTCCTCCCCGCACATCCAGCTCCAACGAACCGCAGCAAACCGTCCCCTGCAGCCCGCAACCCGAGCCCCGAAGCCCCGGCTCCAACCGTCAACCGAGCCCACATCATGACACCTGAGTCCCCGCTAAATTCAGCACTCACTCTCGCTGCTCCTGACGGGGTAACACTTCCGCTGTGCTTTTTTTTTTTTTTTTTTTTTTTTTTTTTAAACTTTATTTATCACATTATAGACATACAGTCAAGTAAAACAGGGATCACATAAAAGATAACATTGTGGTAGTACAATGAGGAACAGAAAGAGTGACAAGGACAGTGAGACAAAAGTTCCGCTGTGCTTCTAAACTCTTCAGTGCAGTGTGCGTGCGCTCACCTAGCAAAACCACATGAAGCGCAACGATTAGCTGCAAGGACTTGTGGGTTATGTAGTTATTGGACCGCTGGCGCGCAGACGTTTGCTGGTTGGTTCAGCGAATCACGCTCAATCTTATAAAAGAAAACACAATGTGGGTGTTACCTGAGATATTACTGGCTTCCCACTTCATTCATAAAATAAAATAAAATAATTTAAAAAAACATTTGTTTACATCAGCTTCATGAAATTCTGTTGTTTTACACATAAACAACAAATCCTTAAAGTTCTCTTTCTTTGGGAGACTAAATTCAAAATAAAAATTATTATATGTATATCAGCTCAGTTTAATAAATGTGGAAATGTTTAGCTCTGGAGTGTTTCTGCTCTCACATAAAGTAAAACCTGATTTTCAGAGCCTCGTGCAGTGTCAATATTTTTATTCAATACCAAAAATCTTTTAGCATAACTAGCGAAGAAAAGCCTGAAAAAAAAAAGCATTGAATCTGAAGACTATGCAGATTTTTTGCTCTCGTTCAATGATCAAGAATGAAAGAAACAGAGAGGATATTAAATGGGCCCCATTGAGCCATTGCTTTCATTGTTTTCAAAGCACATTTTGATGATTTTTCATAATGAGCCTAACATCCTTTATCAGCATTCAGTTTAGCATGACACACAGTTACTCCACTCTCTACGTACACACTACAGCATCCATTCATGAGTCTCACACTTGAGAGGATATTTTGGCCAGGTGAAGCTGCCAGACTGTGATATTTGTCCTTGTGAGTATTTATGAGTGTGTTTATCCCTCTGTACCCCCATCATGCCCTCCACCCAGATCTTTGAGTCATCCTTTTGGCTGAGCAGCTAATAATAACCCCGTGTTCCTTCTGCTATTTTAGGCCTTTAAGGCCTGGAAAGCTGGGGCGTGTGCACAAGCATGCTTGGAGCAGGGGTGAAAAAAACTAGGGTGGGCTAAATCAGACACACAAACATAGTTAGTAGTAGGAGGGGTGGCTCTGGGGCATCCTGCAGTTGCTCAGTGACACTCAGGAGCAGAAGGACCCTTGGGAAAAATCTACGCTTTCCCTTTGGCTTTAAAATATTAAGATTTTACTGCTGGGATTGAACGGGAGTTTATTTGGATTTATTTTGTCACAGTGTGGCCCCTGAAAGACCCATCGGGAGATTGAATTGATTTAACTGCTGCGCCACTGGGTGCAGCCATATGTTTTGGCCATCGAGTGTCTGGATGTGTGAGAACTGGGGGAGCAAGAAGAGTGACTGACGAGAAGAGACAAAATCTAACACAGCATTTGTTTATGGTGACACAAGGTAGGTGAGAAGAAAATGTTACTTTTTTGTACTTAAAAAGTAAAAGAAATCTGCTCAGGTCCATGAGTTTACATTATTTAGGTGGGTTCATAAAATCCTGTATCCCACTTAGAATTATGTTAGTCTCTAGATAGAAACATCCTTTGGCCCTTGTCTGAAATTCAAGCAGCACTGTGCCTTTATCGGTTAGGCAGCCAGCTTTAATAATAGCTCTGATTAATCAGCTGCCCATTTGACCTGTGTGTTTTCTCTTCAAATAGGCAACCCTCATACCCCGAGCCATCACCTGCTGCTTTATTCCACCAGCAGAATATATCACAAACTTCTTCCCTCCAAAAAAGACCTAATCTGTGTTTACTTATTTAGTATCTGTGTCCTCATTTCATTTAACCAGGCTCCAAAAAGACTGGGAATTTCAGTGGCATGAGAGAAACCAGGAGAACCAGTCATGTGATAGTCCAGGAAGTCACAAAGCAATGTAGGATATAGCATCTAAGCCACTGAAGGCTTCTCTAACAACCTCTGTGGAGCAAATGTTGTGTTTGAGTAAAGGTTGACACATTATTCTCCTATCTACAGCATGAAAGAGGGTGGTGTTGTTTAACCTCAGGGATGTCAGTGTGTTCATTTAGTAGGTATAAACCATTATGAATCCATTTCAAATCCTTTCACTGAAAGTGACAACAGATTCACCAGAGAAGCAAAAACAAGACAACCCCCAGAAAGGAATTGTTTTGCAGATGTTATAGACTCTTTCTCTGTCCTTATCCCTTTTTTTTTTAAGTTTTGCTTTTTTTCCTAGTGTTCTTGTGACTACATGTGTAATCTAGCTCCTCCGGGATGGCACCTTCATAAATGCCATCACAAAAAGGTTTGCAGGTCAGCACAGTCTCCAGAGTGTGGAGGAGATGCCAGGTAACATGCAGTTACTTAAGAAGAGCTGGAAATGGCTGTAGAAGCGCTTCAACCCAGCAGGAGGAACAGGAGAAGCACACAATATCATTGATTGGGTTACTCATGTACATGTTTCTGAGCAAACTGTCAGACGTGGTTGAAGCTTCCTAACTGGACAGAGTGATATCCCTGGAGTTTAACTAACTCTGGGTTATGAATTTTGGGGGTTTGAGCAGTCAAAGTCCTGACCTGACCTTAACCCAGTAGAAATGTTCCTGAATTGAGCATCCGAGGAATCCCACCAGCATCCTAAAGCTTTTCTGTATGGGATAAAATTCCTCCAAGATGGTGTGTAGGATTAAAGCAATCTACAGATACTGAAAGCAAGGGCTTAAAAATCTTCACTGAAAGTTGTGTAATACTGGCACATTTTCACTGATAAATAACCCAGTCTGAATCTAATGCTTCACTTACTTAATCTGGGCCTATTTTACTACTTTAAGGACTTGAAAAATCGTACAATGTTTTTGGTCATATTTTATGAAAATCTTTTTTCATGCAGCTGTGGTCCACTTTCCAAAGGCAGTGACTGAGATCAGTTTAGTTAAAATTTACCTACATACCACCAACGCGCAGCAGCATTCACTTCAAGAAGGAAAGCAATATTAGAAAGGAAACCTCAAACATCAGATAATCCCCTGTGAGCATGCAGGTGACAGTAGGAAGGAAGATCTGTGTTTTAACAGGAAGAGATTTCGGTAAAGCCACCTTATGGAGAGCACAGAGAGATGAGAACCAAACACAAACTATGGGAGAGAACAGACGAAGGTTGATGACTGAGTTAAGGTCTGAGCTTGTTCCATAGGAACAGAGCTCTGGTAGAGAAACATAATCTTTACAGACCCAAGCTTCAAATGTATTATTATTATGGAACTTTAAAATTGCACAGCCTCTCTTTGCATTTCAGAACTATTCCAAGATTGCAGCACCTCTCATTTAAATGATCAACAAAGGAATTGCTCATTAGTTGAGCCTTTTGGAGCAAACAGTGAGCATATTTTCCTCCTGATTTTTCTCTCAAGACAAGGAGACATGTCGAGGCCCTCTTCCACCCAGACCACTCCTCAGTTCTACAGAGTCAGCGACAGAGATCTCACCGAGATCGAGCTGCATTCTGTCGATTCCATCAACGACCTCCACCGAACACACCCCGAGCACAGCCACAAAGGTAAAATCACCCCAAACACACCATCCACAGTGCGATGACGCATTAAAACACTGACTCTGACAAAATGCGATTTCAGGAATGAGGGCTCCTCGTCCGGTGTACACACCTTCGCCAAATGGGAACATTTACACCTGCGACACGACAGCTGCCAATCAAAGAGGCCACCCAGGCAGCAAATCCTGGCAGAGCCGACTGCAGGACATGCTGACGCCAAGTTCATCCCGGGCCTATGCCATGGGCTGCGCTATCATCACTTTGCTTCTGCTCACAGTGTTACTCATTTTTTACTTCTTAGGTGAGATAAAAAATAAATAGAAAAAAAATAAAAGAAATGTGCAAACAAAAGCAAACATTTATTGTTGGCTGCTCCTCTTCCAGTCCAGCAGGGCGGCGCAATACGGATGCTGACGGAGGCGGTGAGAGAAAAAGAGGCTGCAGCCACAGAGCTGTCACTGCTGATCCAAGAGCTGCACGCACTCAGGCACAACCTGACAGCCAAGAGAGCGACAGGAGGGACGTGAGGAAGATATGCACAGAAAACAAAACACCGACAGCGTTTTCAGATTATTACCGTAGAAATATGAGATTGGAGTTTTCTGAAAAACAACTTCTAGGCTTACTAGGATTATTTGAGAAGGACTTTTAAATAAAGCTTTTGTTTAATGGTGGCAGTGTGGCAGAAGGGAAGTGGTTGATCTCACATTGCTTGAAATAATGTCAGACCAGGGCCGTGCAGAGAGGTTTAAAGGGGCGGATGCTTAAAGCTAAAAAGGGGCAGGCACATTGAGCCAGGCTGAATAACAACAACACACATTCATCAAGAATCTAATATGGGCAACAAGGCAAAGCAAACGTAGCCGATGTTTTACCTGATGGGTACAATGTTGCTGTTGAGGGGTTGCTGTGGATAGTGCTGGAGGGCAGGGCTGTGTTGATCTGAGACTGTAGACATTAAAAAGTCCATAGGAGAGATGGTAGCTGATTAAACAAGTGTCACGAGATAATAACTAAATGCAAAGATTGGTGACAGCACTTAGGCTCTGCCTGTGAATCACTCTTTGCTTCTCTTCTTCCTTCCATCCCATCTTCTCATATATCACTCTCCACTTGCTGTCTTTCTGAGAACAAGGCACAACTTCCTATTGCAATAAACTATAATTTAATTATCCACACCTAACAACTCCAGCACTTAATCTATAATAAAATGATGACAGAAAAATGTTATAGCACTGCCTTTAGTAGCCTCACACAGCTCTGTTTCCTCCTCATGTCCTTACCAGGCATGTCTGGACAATGTTATATCATGAGTAATAATTTAAAATAATCCATATACATAAAACACACACATGCACGCACACACAGTGACATTTTAGACCTTGTTCAGAATACTGTATATACTATGGGCATCATGGTGCTGATCCAGAATCCTCAAGCCCCTCTAGCCCCCCCCCTCTGCACGTGCCTGTGTGAGACCATTATGTCATTGCCACTGTGTCTAAAAACGTACAAGCTGTTTTTATACTGTGCTGTCAGTCGTTTTGGGTGACTCACTGTGGGCATCACAGGAAACACATAAAGTACAAACGCTGTGGACGGCCAGAAAATTAAACGGACTTCTGATTTCATCAACTTTGTCAAGTATGTATTGTATGACTGGGTAAATGTATAGTTACGTGTTTTCACCAAGTCGTTTATTTACAGTGTTCTGTCGTTCATGGTGATGTTTGATTGGATTTTTCAGTCAGATTTTATGTACACATGTCAAGTTTAAAATGTGTCTTTTCTTCCATGGTAACAAGACACTATTTTACTATTGGTTGAGAAAAAAAAAAATCTTGCAACAGTAAAACATTACACTTTAGTCTTCCTATGCAAAGTCCATTAGAGTCAAATTTAAGTACAGGTCCCTTTAATGTAGCCAAACACAGTTTCTTTTCTTCCTTTCATTTATGACACACGACCACAGAAACAGCCAAAAAGTCTAAACAACTGAAAGACCACAGGAGACTATTAAAGTGCATGATGGCAGAATTATCTCCATGGGTACCAACTTCACAACCTCTGCGGAGGTAGGTGTATCATTGTTAAAGTTTACAATCAAGAGATGACTCCATAAATAGGAATGCAAAGGATTTACAGCAAGGTGTTAACAACTGGTTGCACTGGAAAACAGAAAGGGCAGAGAAGATTTAAAAAAAAAAAACAACAACTTTGGACTAATGAAATTAAAATGAACTTGGACTACATTGCTCAAAACTGTAACTTCCATTAGTAGTATTATTATCCCCATGAACTCATAAATGGACAGCACCGTAACAAAAAAGCTCAGGTCAATCTTCCTCCTCTCTGCTCTTGCTCTTCTTGTCTTGGCACCCCTGCCCTGTCCAGCCTTGGTAGCAATGACACATGAAGTGTTTCTGGAAATGTTTGGAAGAGTCACTGAGCCGGTGGCCAGAGCCCAGGTGTCTCCTGGTGCAGCGTCCATTGCCGTGGCAAACCTGGAGGCTGCAGCGCTCTGCGTCAGACCTCAGAGATCGAACGAAGGGACCCAAGACATTGTGGACGTAGTCTCTGAGGAGAACGCACTGTTTCTGGATGGTTTGGGAAGATCAATATGGTTACACATAGGCGCGCACACACACACACTGATAATGTTTTCTCACATGCACACCTTGTTTTTGGCGAATTTCAGTTCTCCCCACAGCACAACTCCAGCTGCCCCCAGTGATGCACTCTCTCCAAGTGTGTGCTCCAGGTCCATCTGCACACACACGCACACACACACACACACACACGCACGCACGCACGCACGCAGTTTGTCATGCCACATATTTAAAATCTTAATATTATGTGATGTATGCTAAAAAAGTCCTACCTTACTGAGAAACTTGAGTGAGTGTGTGAATGCTAGCCTGGCGTAGGGGAGGACGGGTGTGGCGTGGTCGGTGTTGTTGTGATATGGCCAACCTGACGCCACCCTCAAAGCCTCCAGCAGTCTGTGTCTGGTTAAAGAAGACAGAGCAACCCGTGAGTAAGCGAAACCACCTGTCTGGCCATCATGGCTAACAAAAGCTAAATGACAGGACTGCTCATACCCTTGTCATGATTGGATATGTGAGTGCCTGAGGCAGCAGAGTGTAAGTGAATGCATTTCTTGCTGATTTTCTTGTACCTGACCATTAGAGCTGCATCTGCAGACCCTGCCAGTTTCTGTGGCAGGTAGATGCTGGGGTAGAGAGCGGAGGACTTAGTCCAAAGCCAGGACAGCTCATCATTCTGCTGCCTGGTCCCCCTGAGGCAGCGTCCTGTGTAAGTTTTATCTGATCACACAGAAATACAAATAAAAGACAGAGATCAGCCTGTATCATCGGTACAAAAGGAGTTGTCATTATTGTTCAGATTGCTAGAAAACCAACGTGTTCAACGTTAGTGTTAGACCAACCTGTCTTTCTCTTGTTCTTGTTAAAGCAGGCGGGAAAACCATAAAACCCCCAGAAGCCTTTGGGGCGTTCTCCGACCGCAGACTGGAGTGTCTCTTCCATGAACTTCCGAGCGCTCTCCTCAAACATCTGCCTCGCCAGCGATGTCACTGCCCGCTCTGAAAGATCTGGTTGCTCCTGTTTCACCAGCAGTTTGGACAACCTCCGGTACTCCAGCTTAGATCCAAAGTTTGTCTCCCACAACGGTCTCCATTCCTCCCAGTCGATGACAGCTAGGCCGCTAAAATCTGGTAGCAGGAGGTCGGACAGCTGCGTCACCGTGAGGGAGAGGTGAGAGGCCAGGTCGCTGAGCTGAGGGAGTCCTCCATTCACTTTCTTGCCATTTCGGGAGAGGTATGGATATTTTCCCAAGTGGTCGCGGTAGAAGATGGTCATTTTCTGGAAAATCAAACATTTTCCCTTTTTCACTTGTTTTGGATTTATTGCACATTTAATCCTTGTTACTGTTACAGTGCCCTCACCAGCCCTCTTTCTATGGTTTTAAAGTAGAATATCAGTAAAATAAATGGATGAGGGACGATCACCTGTCCCTGGAAGCGCTCCTTCTTGTTCTCCACAATATGAAAGTCTCCCAGGTCCAGGTGGATGTTGTATCGCTGTGGACAGTTTGCCGTGGGCATGTTCCACACCAGGATGAAAGGCTGGTTCTGCAGGATGGGATGAGCTGCAGCCACAGCTTGCAGCGAGGTGCCGATGAAGGCATCCGCCTGGGGGGAATTCTGTGGCAGCGAGTTGCAACGGAGGGAAGAGATGAAGAAGACGGGGAGGAGGAGGAGAGACAGCTCCATGGCTGCTCACCCACAGATGTGTCCTTCCTGGCAGGAGAAAGAAATCGTCCTGATGAACTTTTCTGCATTTAAATGGTTAACTTTGTATATACAAGTACGGGCTTTTATCTGACAGAAAAACATGATAAGAAATGCAAAAATAAAGACCAGTCAAAGCTATAATGATAAGAAAGTCTCTTTATTCCAATCATTTTTCACCCACTGTAAGAAATCTTTAACATTTCAATGAACCAAATAAAAACAACATGAGAAAATAACAGCAGCAGACAGATTTTTGGAAGACTGATGGGCAACAAGTTACTTAAGTGGTTGAGATTGGTTATATCTGCACTGGTCCAAGCTGTCACTGCAGATATGAAGTATTTATCACTGAGTGCAACAATGACTGTGATTCGCATTATTCTGCGAAAAATTCTACATCAAAGCAGCTCAACAAACGCAGAAAAGCTTATTTTTTTAGTTTTTCTCACTTCAAACCTTTCTCAATGTGAGGAAACAGGAGGGGAGCTGGCGCTGCTGGCGTATCCGCTGCAGGGGAAGCAGTCAAAGCCGACGTGGAGCTTCTAGTTCCTGCTGAATGCACAGCCAGTTTACGGCCGAAGAACTCCAGATGAAGCGATTGGAGTTGAGACATGGACAGGTGGAGGTAGACGGTGTGCATCTTTGGGCTAAGAGCTGCAAAGATGAAACTGCAGCCTCGCACCTGTTGCGCATCGAGCTCCGCCCCCTTTCCTTAAACGTTACACTGATGCCGCCATTCAGACAGTCCGGGATAGACTGATATTTCACTGAGGTGAGAGATGTGAGTCACCCTCTCATCCGATTAGAGCTCAGATTAGATTCTGCTTGAGGGATTTTTTTCCCTCTCCCCAGCGCTAACCTGGATTCTCCGCGCGCACTCGGTGCCGAACAGTGATAGGCGTGCCCCATCGCTGTAGCTGTGTGGCCCCACTGATGTGTAAGGCTAAACGGTAATTGGACTGATTCTTATATTGCGCTTTTCTACTCAACGGAGCACTAAAAGCGCCTTTAACATGACCACCGCGCTGCGCTTTTGCGCATGAAGCGGCGACAGCGCCACCTTTTCTCGACATTTGGGGACCAAAACACATTTTTATGGAAGTCAAGCAGTCTCACAGCAATAGGAAATAGTCATGATCTTTAATTTATTCTTGTTTCAATCAAACCTCAAAACCCGGATTACAAAACACATAAAAAAAAAACAACAAGGAAAATATGTAATATTTATTACATATAACCATAATCTGCAGCGAGTGTGCGCTCCTGCTTGCAGTTAATTCGCTTAACTGCCAGAAAAAAAAACACATAACACACTCTGGGCTGTAAATTCTGCTGTGCCAAGGTCCCGCATTGGAAGCT